ATGCCCTTGCCTCTCAAATCGACCTCCTCGTGCGTCGAATCTGATCAAAACCACAACGAATACGTCACAATATATCAATGGAACAATACCCAATCGAAAACAATCGAAAAATAGAAAAAATCTCGAAATTAGCAAAACTCGAGCCTCGGGCCCAGTTCTCGAAAATCAGAAAATTTAACATCAACGGACTCCTTATCTCGCCACGAGTCTGTACATATAAAGATTACCAAAATCGGAGTCCAAATGACCCCTCAAATCCCCATTCAACTCTCTTAAGTTTCAAGCCCTCATCCACCATTCTAACTCCTTAATTCCTTAGTTTTTTCCAGTCTAAATTCATGTAATAACACCTTAGAATTGTGTTTTTGACTCAGAAATCCTTACCTCAAAGAAGTTCCTTGATTTCTCTCTTCCAACTCGCCCAAATTCTCCAAGTCCGAAGTGAAAATATGAAACGCTTTGAAATTTCGCGAAGGAGAAATTAAATAGCACTGACCAGTCATTTCCGCATCTGCGGCTCCTTAGCCGCATCTGCGACTCCCGCTTCTGCTGTCAATGCACCGCTTCTGCGGATATTTTCGCTTCTACGGTTGGATTTCCGCACTTGCGCCTTCCGCTTCTGCGGACAAAACTCCGCGTTTGCGGTTCCCCTTAATTCTCCAAACTCCGCATATGCGGTCACTTCGTCGCATATGCGACTCCGCAGATGCGGTCAGCCACTCCGCACCTGCGATACTTGCCGCTTCTGCGGCTCACATTTCGCTTCTGCAGTACCGCTTCTGCGGAACCGCTTCTGCGGTCCCATTTCCGCAGAAGCAAAAATGCCAGAAGCAGCTGCAAAAAAATCTTAACTTCATAAACCAAAACTTTCCGTTAACCATCCGAAATCACCCTGAGGCCCCCGGGACCTCAACCAAAAGCACCAACACCTTCGATAACATCATTCAAACTTGTTTCAATCCTAAAAACACCTCAAACAACACTAAAACCATCATTTCTCATCAAATTCAAGCCTAAGTTCCTTAAAAACTTCCGAAATACGCATTCGATAAAAAACCCAACCAAATCACCTCCGAATGACCTAAAATTTTGCACACACATCCCAAATCACATAGTGAAGCTATAGCAATTCTCGGAATTCCATTCCGACCCTCGGATCAAAATCTCACCTATCAACCGGAATTCGCCAAAATACTAACTTCGCCAATTCAAGCCTAATTCTACACCGGACTTCCAAAAACACTTCCGATCACACTCATAAGTCACAAATCATCCCCTGAAGCTAACCGAACCATCGGAAATCATATCCGAGCCCTCTAACTCATAGGTCAACATCCGGTTGACTTTTCCAAAACAAACCTTCCTTAAAGAGACTAAGTGTCTCATTTCCTTCTAAAACCAATCCAAATCAACTCGTTCACACAAGACTCTTTTAATGAAGCATAAAGAAGCAAAAAAGGAAAAAACGGGGCGGTAACTCACGTGACGACGGGTCGGGTCGTCACATATATATACATGTAAATATAAATGAAGTCATACATGAATGGTATTTGTCTTACATATTTGTATAAAAGTTGTATATATATTGTTATGCGATGTATAAAACTTGTATATATATTGTATCCTAAGTTTGGCAATGTATTCTTAGTGTATATTACGTGTACGCTGAGTATATTTTTATATCCAATGTGTATATTAAGTGTATCCTGGGGTGTCTGTATATCATGAGTGTATATTCTATTTATATAATATATAAAAAATTTATACATATCGCTTTTACTTGGAAAAGATCACGTATAAAGTTATACATGCAAGATAATTGATTATATTTTTGTATAAAGTTGCATATACATTGTTATGTAACGTATAAAAATGT